AGTAAACACTAGTCTTTCTAAATTAGGATGTTAAGCTAATATCCGTATTCTCTATTTCAGATGATCGATGAAGACATGTACCACGTGCATCTGTTGTATATTGTTATTTTACTCCAATTCTTACTGTTATATCTTCTGAAAAATAAAATTGCTATATGCAGCAAATACAGACTTATTGTTTTGATGGTGGTAGGGGGGTTCATGGGTTTTTTAGCAGGACTGTAGTAATATTCCCACTAAAGAGCTAAGTGAGTGCGTAGACCAATGTAAAGTACCATACAGGGTGCCTTTGAATTACTCGTGTTCCATTAGTGTCGGTAGAAGCATTACTTGCTTATCATATGACATTTGAATAAGGAGCTATGAGATTAGATGCAGGGACGGTTAGGATGTGTAACGCGTGTCCATCCATCAGTTTTCGTGGCGACTCATGGTGGCTAGAATAAGTTGTGAGAGGACCCGAGCCTGTAGGTTTCCTAAGAAAGTGACGGAGATATGCACCAAATCACCTTATGAAGAGCGCCTCCAATCACTTAACCTCTACTCATTAAAGTATAGACGTCTTAGAGGTGACCTATTTACTTACAGGATCCTTAACACTTCTGGACATTTTCTTAAACACCTATATGAGCTTAGTCCCAGAAACTAGAGACACGACATAGCAGAATGGACTGTAGACGCGACTTCTACTCCTTAAGAGTTGTCGAATGCTGGAATTCGCTGCCCCCCGAACTAGTCCAAGCGACTTCCCAGGAGTCATTTGGGAGGCGACTGGATCTTTTATTGTTAACATACCTAGGTTCCTGCTTGGAGGTTTTGGTGATCCCCTGCTAATAGACACGGAAGCCTGAACACATGAATTAGGTGATGAGAGGCTCGATTATCACAAGTTTCTTGCAACGATTAAGTAGATAAAACAAAGTAGCATTAGGTTCAAAAATTTATTCGAGAACTTTCATTAAGAATCGAATATGAAACAAAGGTTTAAACCAAGTTCCAGTCTAAAAGTTGCATTTGTAATGTTAAGCTGCAGTTTTTGTTGATTTTTCCAAACGAAAGGGTAAAAGAAGTAACTCAAAAAGTACTGGAAGTGGTTGTGAGATTAAAATGGATATCCAGCATTTTTTTAATAATCTGCTGTTAGTTGGGTCTCCCGTAAACAGATCCATAGGGCCATAGTTCTAAGGGCGAAACAGTTCTTAACATCTGTGAAGACTCAGTCCTGTTGCATTCTAAATGAGAAAACAGTAATGAATTTAGTCAGAAATGTGGAATAGATAAATAACCAAATTACATGTATTTTAGCAAAGAATTTATGCAGTTGTGATTTACCTTTAGTTCATGAATATTAGGTCAGATCAGCTATTTATTGTGCAAAGCATAACATGGACTTAATACCGTATCTCAATGCTTTTATTATTTTGCTCTCATTTAAGTATTACCATGTATCTGCATCTAGTTTAACAGGGAGACATACAAGCAGAGTTAGTGTTTGATGAACTAAAAGTCCTAGTTGTCAAAAAGATTCTTAACATTTGTTCACAGCCAACTGCATTTAATTGAAATACAGAACACTCATCTTTTAAGACTGTATACTACTCTTCTACGGGCAAATAAAAGCTCAGATACTTAGCTATCCTGCTACCGATGTTATTGCTGGGGAAATTGTTTAATGACAGTGATCATGAAATATGGTCAGTGGTAGATGTACAATCTAGAAATAAACACCAAACATACTTATCGCTCTCTTATAATGTATGACAGCAACAGTACCAAAAGCACTTTTTTCCTATTTTTAATCAGACTGATTTGAATCAGTATACTCATCAGAAACAGGCAACTCTACTTACTAGGCTGATCTGTTTCGTTACAGACTTCAAGCACTATACCATAATTCTTTCAACTAAAATGAATTATACGACAACCAAGAATACTAAACTAAGCAAGTGTCATAGTTATTGTTTCATTTACACAGGCATATTGCTTAAAGTAGTTAAATGAACATAATTAAGACGATAAAACAAAAACACGAAATATAGGCCAACTGAACTTACCGAACAGAAGACAAAGAATATATATTGCTTTCCGACTGAAAACAACAGGCAGTTGTTCATAAAAACATAGTTCATAGTACAATAAACCTTTCTACAGTAAAATCATGCACTGACTGTCTATCTGGAAACAATCAACTATGTGAATAAACACACTATGACTTGAGATATCATCCCAGCATGCAATGGACGTGCAGTGTAACGCAGTCGAACGTGGCGAATAAAAATATAAAAAAAGATCAAAATTAGCTATATAATCTAGTTATTTAATTAAAAATACATTATGAAATGTCAAAATCTGTGGTTACTTGAACACACAGACGACCGGTACATTAAGTTTACATGGTTGCGTTGCGGATAAGATCACCCCTTTTTTTACTGTCTTTTGATGAACTCCCATATATAGTTAAGTCCTTAATGCTACTATACTCTGATGATGTAAAAATCTGGCAAAAAACTATAGAGCAAGAACAAACATTGATGCAGAATAGTATGAATTCACATTATTTCGAAGTTTCTCGTCAGCTGCTTATAAACCAAAATTGTGATAGAATTTTTTACATGGAGATAGTGTGAATCAATTGACATAAATGAGTGTAAATAACTGGATTACAATAATAACTATATATATATATATGCTAGAAACAGGTCAGAGGTCAAAAGAGGGGGGTTAATCCAGGGTGGGTGGTGTCATAATTTAGTGAAGTTCATAAATTGTGCGTGTGTGTAAGCAGCTGACTTCGAAATAATGTGAACTCATACTATTCTGCATCAATGTTTGTTCTTGCTCTATTTAAATTCATAAAAGGAACTAATTGCATGAAAAAAACAATAGGAGACGCATAGGCAGAATTAGATATTCTGACTAGTTGGTCTAAAAATTGGCCGATACTTATCAGTGCGACTAAATTTGTTTATATGCACTTTAGGGATATAAATGTAGATAGGTACAACATAGGGGAGAGTTTGTGCCCGTAGTCCGATCTCACAATGATCTTGGGCTGACTGTGAGTGATTATCTTAAGACTATGGCTCACTATCGCATTATCGCTTCTAAGCGGTTTAGAATCCTATGAGCTTGAAGACGGACATTTCCCAAGTTTGGTAATAGTATGTTAACTACAGTATACACAACATCAGTCAGGTCACAACTTTGAAACTTCATTCAGGCTGCAAGCTTCTGTTTAAAAGGTGACTTAGATAGACTTGAAAAAGTACAGAAGGCAGCCTCCCATGCAATTTCGGAACTCCAGGGTTTATGATTGAAAGAGTGGCTTGAAAAGTCAGATCTCTTTACTCTATATAACAGTAGATTTAGAGGTGACATATAGAATACAAAGAAGTGATTTTAGACATGACATACCCCCTTTCCATCCTAACAGGTTAAGACGACTCAGAGGACATATCAGGGGAGTAGAAAAGCCTAGAACGAACAGAATACTCGTGATATAGAGATTTTCACATCGAACAAGAAAGAAAGATTAGTTCAGCAAAGAGATTTTTTTCGGCGAATTCATTTTCAAAGCTGTACAACCGCAAATATATATACTCATTTTTACAAGGTGATAATAATACTGATAACAAACTTCTGTTATACATGGTGAAAGTGAGGTTAAATAAACAAAGGTATCAGAAATTTTTTAAAACCAGGAAAGTTTAATAATCCTTTGATAGTTAATTGCTTAAGTATTCATCGAGTAAGGTTGGCTCAGCATGATAAAATAAAATGTTGAAACAGAGATGAAATGTAATCGGAATGATCGTGGAAATAAAAACAAACCGGTTGGTGATAGGAGATTTGAAGGGATGGAAGGTGAAGCAGGTGGCTGTAAGGGAACAGGAGTATATAGCGGTAAATAAATCCCCAAAATAAATATCTCTGTAAGTTTTCGATATTGGATGCTGACCATATGTTTTAGTGGACTCATCTAGCTGAAGGCGCTCGGTCACGCATCCGCACCAGATCACCTGTGGTAACGCTGTGCTCAACATCTACCGCAATCGCTAGCCAGATTAGATCAGAGAATTCCGATATATTGGTTATCGTCAAATACACTCTTCCGATCTCCTCGACTCTGTCTTTTAATTTCGCTCGGTGGGTACAAATAATATTAGGTGTTGCTGGTAAAAGCGTTGTCAAACACTGAATACCTGTACCATCTCCAAGCATGAAGAAAGAGAAAAGTTTTAATACATTAAGATCATGGTAGAAGAAGAGGTTGTACCAGTCTCTCTTGTACACATAATTCTGGTTTTTCAAAATGTATGGCTATTGCCTCTATTGCCGTCTAATTGTCTGAGGAAGGCTTCTACTTACCTTGTAGATAACTTTGAACGCAGAGTCTGTCTTGATTGAGTGACTTGTGTTCACAAGGTGTTTGATTATAGAACTTCTTACTGAGCCGTTGCCCCCTCTTTTTAGCCACACCAGACAATGTTCATGAATTCTTTTGGATAAAGTACGCATTGAACGATCTATATACCTAGCTCCACAAGAGCATGTAAATTGGTAAATGCACATTGAGTTGGTCAGATGCGATAATTTATCTTTCAGATTATTGGTGATCATTGATCGGCTAGAGAATAATATTCGCAATGTTGCTAGGAAGAATGTTCTTTTTAAAGAATCCGAAATTCTCCTCTTTAAGATATGCCAGGCTCTATCACCTTTGAAATCGATGTTCATGTATAAAATTTTCTTTTGTACTGTAATTCTTTGTGGTTTTAGCATTTTCGGCCTCATGTTCTTATCAATGAATATAGGAGGATATCCGTTTTTGATAAATATCTCTTTTAAAAAGCTCAATTCTTCCATTACGACCACCAGAATACGAATAATCTGTAGCATCGACTCACTCAAAAAAGACGAGACACTCACAGGAGCTTACTAGAAAAGAACTGATACAAGCCGTAAATCTTCTGTCCGTGCCATGCAAATTTGAACCCAAAGCTGTGTTCCGTTTCTCTCACCGATTAGTGAATCACTGGAATTCTTTATCAGAAAACATAACATCGGCACTTTCTGTTGATTAATTAAAACAGAGGTTGAATCTCCACAATACTAAAAATTGCAAGGAATAATATACTTACTCTCGAAGACGAATTCTCGGTTACGTCTGGCGCTAATATATGAACTTGTGCGTTACTAATGCTTAGAGCTAGTGGACTTTCTTTAGTCTGTCGTAGAAGTTATGGGTTATGGGGTTTCATCTATCATAGAGAAAGCCCAGGTAAGCTAGTTAAAACGCTACTTCAATGTCGCTGAAGCTGTTAGACTATTTTACAAGACATTGAGTCTACTTGGGATACCAGTTGGAATTTTAACAGTTTATATCGCCTTGAAAAATGAGCATCATCATGAAGAAGAAATGAAAGAAAAGGAGACATTCATTCCTGTTTTCCCCAGAGAGATAAGGGTAGTTCACTTTGTTTATTTAATTTTGATTCCACCAGAAGCTACATTGGGGTGATGGTAAAACGTACTTTACGGATCACGTTTCGAAATTAATAAACTATACGCCGCGCACCACATCTACGTTTCCTAAGCCAGCAGATTAGCTTATTTGGCTTTAAATTTTTTAGTCTCATCACTTGCTTGTTATGCTGGTTTTAATAGTCACAAGTTTGTTCTTGTGAACTCATCTAACGATTTATGTAGAAATACATATGTTGTTCGTAGTTATTTGCTTTAATCTCTGATGATTTGGAATTACGGGTTGCCTGCATTTAATTTCGTGTCATTTGTGTAAGACCATTAGACGTAATAACAGTAACCGATATTTCTCGTACGTTCTAAAAACGGAATCCAAAAGCTCTAAAACGTTCCACCACTTTTTTATTGGGATGCTTTGTTTTCAGATGTTCTGAAAGAGTCCTCTTACTAGTGTATGAAATATTTTAACGTCCAACCCAAGTAGTTTATATGTAATTAGCTAATCCATTGTTTTTTTAATTCCAGTTATTTGTTGTCCCAACCATCTGTGTTACTTCGCTAACATAACTGCATTGGAAATTACTTTATGTAATTGTTTCGTTTCCTTCAATAACTGAATAAGTCCGTGAATTCTTAATAAAGTATAAGTTATAGTATTTAGTTTCAGAATACTAAGAACTCAAGTCACTAGTAGCGAGATCTATATCTTCATAAACTCGTCAATAAATGCTAACATCTATTGACTGGTTTTTACACAATTCCAGCCACTAAATAGATTTATTCTCTCTGTGGTAGATCACAACCTTCATTGCTAAAGATTTACACAACCTCTTGTAACCAGACGAAATCTGTAGTGGTTGCTCCTTCAGTACGTGCATATGGGGAATTACATTTGTGACAGACTGATACATGAGGTGCAGTAGTTGGTCGTCTCCACCGCTTCAGTTGCACCGGAGAATTTCCCGTCTTTAATGGGTTGGTGTCTGGCGAAATCTGAACACGAACTCAGGAGGACCACTTGCATTCTACCAACTTTCACTACTTGTGGCCCAAGCGAATTGATCATCCTTCAACTAAAAGACGAGTTTACTGCACAACACAACAGCTGCGTACTAGTTTATGGATAAGAGAGGTGATCTATCAAAGTAAGTATGCGTTAATTGAGGGTTTTGTGTCATAGGTACATTCTAAGCATTGCTTTCGTTTCTTGAGACTACCGAATAAACCACATTGATGTCATATGACTCCGTAAACCGCGAGATTTTGTGGCAGTGTCTGTCGTTGAAAGGCTCACCTCAGAAGTACATAAACCCTGTGAAGGATCTTTACTCGAACACTACTAGTCGAGTCAGAGCTTATGGAGAACTGTCATCTGCTTGCAACCTCAAGTGGTGTTCGTCAAGGCTGTCCACTTTCTCCGTTTTTGTTTATCTGCATCATATACCTGCTGATGGAAATAACGTCCACGTCAACTGAATTCTGGGGCATTGATCTCCTTCCAGGAGGTCCACTTATCAATTTAGAATACACAGATGACATAGTCCTTTTTGGTGAAGACGCTAATAAATTGCGGTCTTTTGGTATCACTAAGCAACAATGCCAGAATGTTTGGGATGCGCTTCTCTCCTAAATGCAAGTTGTTGATTCAGCACTGGTCTGCGTCAACACCCGAACTAATGATAGGGAATGAAGTCAGTCAGTTACAACGTAGGACCAGGCACATATGTGCATCGGTTCAAGTTGCAACACTTCATTAGCACAGCAAGATGACCACCGGATTCATAGAAGTAGTTAAGTCAATGGTGGCAATATATATAAAAAAATTGTGCATAAGGATATAATGTAGGAAGAAAGAATTAGAAATAAAGGTATAAAGTAATTTTAATCTCACCTTTTAGTGGAAGACAAAGAGTGTATACACCTACGTCATTGTGATCGATTCTGAGCCATGTCACCAAGAGTTTCCAGCCATTGGTTACGAGTCACGCGGACCCAAACCAAGTAGTCTGCATCTACCAACATGGCTCAGATTAGAAGTTAATGACTTTATGAACTGATTCCATGTTTTTGTTTGTTTGACCCTAACCTTCTTCCAACCATCCCCACACCGGTTAGAATTGCACGTCGTGGTAGTCGGTGTTCAGGCATACGCAGCACGTAGCCTAACCATCTCAGTCAGTGAAGATTCACGACCTCATCAACTGATTTACCATCATTCCCTAATACTCTGAGTATAACCTCATTATTACTTATCCGGTGATCCCAGCAGACGCCAGCAATATTTCTCAGGCATCTGTGGTCAAATACTAGTAGCTTGCGATTATCTTCAACTCTTAATGGCCACGTTTCGCAGCCGTATAGTAGGACAGAACGAACTGCCTCACAGTATACTTGCCCCCTAATTGATAAACGGATATCTCGCCTTCAGTTTCGTGTTTGAGTTTCGTTTCCTCAAGAATAATCATGAATATTTTGGCCAAAATAGACCCTAGCGTCCGTTTAATTTGTTGTTGCCCCCAAATGCCCTGGCACGGCCGCAAGTGAGGGAAGTCCGTTCTCCCTCTCGAAATGCTCTCACATGGCCACGCGTATATAGTTTCTGCCATGGAAGTTCTACTTACTCCCTTCTCGTGGTGGGGGTGTTGTTTACGAAATCGAGAGGACGAAAAGCGAACGTCCGGCGCTTTAACCGAGCTGGTGGACACGGAGAGTCCACCTAGGGGAGTTGGAAAACCCTGATTCCAAACCAATGGTGAACATGGGATCCAGTATCCTGAAGGAACAAATGGCGTATGAACCGATCGTTGGTCACCGGCTACCATGGGACCGCATCTCCTTACGTTGCTCCACTGCCTTGTGAGACAGACCTTCAGGTCGAAGGCTCCAGGTGTGGCCCCCTAAGAAAACCACCTGCTTCGGTTTGGGCACTCGGGCAGTATCACAGCGGTCGTACATATGGAGTAAGATCTGTGTGGTGCATATGTATTTGGTGCCTCCTCCTTTTCTTACTAGTAATAGTAGTAGTAATTTTCCAAATACATTTTGGGCCAAAGAAAGTAATTCGGGATGGCATCATATTATGTCAAATAATATTTGAAATTTATTTGATGAATACACATGATCGATTTCTCCAGAGAGTTGAAATGTCTTTTGAAGTATGAGTTGCCGTTTTTTGCAAACTGGTTCTAACAATTTCTTTAACTATCGAGACAAATTATGATCTAGGGGGTTTATCGTTGACGTTACAGGTTATAATTGGGTCACTGAATTGTTGATTCTAGAAAGACCATGATGTTTGTTCACCATTTACAAACGTACCGATAAAAAAACTATATATAAGATATTCCAGCACTACAAATTACACCCTTTGCCTGAAAATGAGTTGAGAAAATTACTACTGGTGTGGTGTGTGCTACGTATGTTGATAGCCATAAGTAGAATATTTATTTATTTAGGAAAATAAACATTAGTACAAGAAGACAACAAATATATATGTGCGGAATCGTGGATGAGCACTGCTGAGGAGTCCCATACTAGGACGAAATGGCCGTCCAGTGCTTCCAGGTTTTCAATTGTGGTCTAGCTCCAAATGACTCATGATTTCAATCTGTGAAAAGTCCTAAAATCTCCACAAATCCTGATAAAGATATATATGTGTCACAATTCGTCATTCGATTTGTGTGAGGGCTGAAATACTGTCGGGTTCCTAAAACCGAAGCAGTTGGTTTTCTTAGGGGGAGAGTCCCCGGGCCTTCGATCTAGATGTCTCATCCGGAAGGCAGTGCAGCAAAGTTAGTAGACGCAGTTCCATGGTAGCCGGTGACCAACGATTCGTTCATACGCCATTTGTTCCCTCAGGATCCTGGAGCCCATGTGCACCATTGGTTTGGAATCAGTTTCCCAATCCCTTTAGGTGAACCCTCCGTATTCATCGACCTGGTTAAAGCGCTGGACATTATCTATTCGTTCTCCCAATTTTTTAATCAACAGTAATGTGGGAAGGCAATGAGTAGGGCTTTCTTAACAGTGGCTGTATGCACGTGGACATATAAAAGCGTTTCGAGAGAAAGAGCTGACTCCCTCCACCCTCGGATGTACCAGGGCATTCAGGGGCTATGTAATATGTAGCACTAATCGGAAGTGGGATACCTGCCAACAGAAAGTTAGATTGAGAACATAAAAGAAAACGAACTATTGGAATAACAACAGAAGTATATAAGCATCAAGTGAAGGGAGATATACAAATAATGTATCTAATGTACAGTTTCCATATTTTACGAGGACGCTGCATATATATATCACAATAACAATCGAAGTAACAACCCTCTATTTATTTTGATGTTTTTCCTTCATTGATCTTTTGTCTTCTTTCCGTACATGTTTCAATATTTTTTCATGTTTCTATTGTCGATTGTTCCACCTAAAAATTTTCTGTGTAGTCATATTTTTAGAGTGAAATGAAAAATAAATATTTTGATGAACATAAAATGTGTAAATTTGCTTTAACGGAGAAAAACAGTCCAGCGCAAAAGAAAAAAACAATCATGTAGGGGATGAAGAGAGAAGATAAAGCACATTTTTCTGTAAAGCTTGTTGATATCAAAAACAAAATGTCTATATTCATTGAGAATATCCTTGAAAAAATGGAAATAAAGTAAAGCAAATGAATAGAAGCTAACATTCAATGATAGGCTATAGTCATTCTAATTATTGTTAAATTCTGCTTCTTATTTGTCTAGGCTCAATGAAGTTTTGAACAAAAACTTCATTATGTATTATATTGATTAATTAACACTCTTTATAACAAGACATACACGTGGCATCATTCATCTGTGGTGTAAAGTAAAAAAATATACTATTCAAGAAGCTGTAAACATTTATGGAAAGAGTGATGGCTTATTGTCTGAAGAAGGAAAACAGCATGACTTTTTTTTAATTTAAAGGGTGTTGGAAAAGATGTATATATTATCAAATTACTAAAAACTTGTAGATCATTAGGTTGTTAGCTATATTTGTGAAATTCACTAAATATATAATATTATAGTCTGATAGGATTTTACTTATTCATTTTCAGATTACTGATTACCATTAAGTAGTACATGTAAAACATTAAAGGCATAAAGGTTTAAAGAAAATATGATCACTATCTAGATTTTTGGTCAAAGGTTACTAAGACATGAATGTTTAACTAAATTTGACTTAATTCCAGGATTTAAACTGGAAATAGTAATAAGGATGAATAATTTCATTATCAAAATGTAAAATTAAATGAAAACATCTTTCCTTGGAAAAGTGATTGTCTTTACCATTTAAAGTAATCTTTTTTGACCTAAAACTTAAAAAAGCTAAAGTATTTGAATATTTTAAAAAATGACTTAAACATAAATTCCTAATTACAATTTCTTCATTTCAGTTATGCAATATAAAGATCAAGTTCTTTATGATGATATACATTAGCATTTATCTTATTGAATAGTTTATTTAATCCAATGTTATATTCAATTAAAATGACTAGACAAAATAAATCTTATTCAATATATGAAAGAAGATTAGTAGAAAATCATGCATTATGTTATTCATAAAAGTCAATTAATCAAATAGTTTCTCATTACAAAATAAGGAATATATATATATATATAACCAACCTTTTTCAATAAAAGCTTGGACCAAATTGCCAAGCGAAACGTTAGATTAACTTCATAATTCATTCGCTGAAATTTTATAAATACATTCTTCCTCTTCAATTAATGTTCATTTCTAAATTTTATCATAAATTAATATTTACATGGAATTATTTTACCAATTA